AAGAAGAAGAAGAAGAAGAAGAAGAAAGAAAGAAGAAAGAAGAAGAAGAAAGAAGAAGAAGAAAGAAGAAGATGATTCTTCTGGAGTGGTGTAAACCAAGAGCCAAAATTTGAATTCTCCACTTCTCTGTCCCTAACAAAAGTGTCTGCCTTATATTTACTGAAAGCATGGAAAACATGATATGAGAAAGGAGCAAGGGATCTCTTAATCATTGTTTACTAACCTTCATAAGGGAAGAAATTTATGATCCCTGTTGGCCCAGACTATCACTCAAAATCACACCAGATTACTTCTAACAACAGGTTATAACCTGTGACTTCCAACGTTTGTGATGGATATTTGTTTTTAAGGCTGCTTTCAACCTATTGGCTGCTTTCAGCAAATGCTCACTACACACACACACACACACACACACACACACACACACACACACATTCCAGGTCACAGGCATGGAAGAATATAATTTTGGGCTGGAGAGATAGCTCAGAGGTTAAGAGCACTGGCTGCTCTTCCAGAGGTTCTGAGTTCAATTCCCAGCAACCACATGGTGGCTCACAGCCATCTGTAATGAGATCTGGTGCCCTCTTCTGGCGTGCAGGCACACATGCAGACAGAACACTATATATGATAAATAAATCTTTAAAAATATATATAATTTTAAGGTTAAAACTGCATTTAATTTAACTTAGGTTGTAAAAAGCTGATTACATGGAAGCCCTATGCATAATTGCAAGACTGGCTACATTATTTTCTTGAAGGCTAGTTAAACTTAATCACAGGCATTTTGTTTGTTTGGTTTTTTGAGATAGGATTTCTTGACTGTCCTGGAACTAGCTCTGTAGAGGAGGCTGTTCTCAAACACAGAGATCCACCTGCCTCTGCCTCCCAAGTGCTGGGATCAAAGGCATGCGCCACTACGGCCCAGCTCACAGGCATATTATTAACTTGGTTGGAAAGTCGGGTAAAAGTTTGGTTTCTGAAGGTAAGAGGTATTTTCAGGGGGAAAAAAAAAAGCCATCCTCACGGTCAACAACCACTTGTAACTCCAGCTCACGGCTGGTGAGATGGCCCAGCAAGTAAAGGCACTGCCACACCTGACAACCTGAGTTCCATCCGTGGGTCCCGTGTGGTGGAAGGAGAGAACCAACTTCCCAGATCCTTGAAGTCGTCCTCTGACCAACACAATGACACAGTGCACACACGCGCACACACACAGGTAGGTAGGTAGGTAGATGGATAGATAAATGTACCAAAAGAGGTTTGTTTGTTTTCCAAACAGTTTCTCAATGTAGCCCTGGCTGTCCTGGAACTTACTTTGTAGACCGGGCTGGCCTCGAATTCAAGGATCTGCCTACCTCTGCCTCCTCAGGATGCTTAAAGTCCTAAGTCTCCAAGCCTGGACTAATAAAGAGTTTTTAAAAAGGGTATGCCAGCTTTGCCGGAGTGGAAGTCTTTGAAAGAAAGAACTCCAGCTCCAGTGAAGGTAAGGGGGCACGCCAGAGGCACTCATACATAAATGAAAAAAAAAAATACTGAATACTGGGGAGACCTAGTCGGTATGACATAGCTTGTGAAAAGTTCAGTACAAGTTCTCTTCTTACAGTATCTACTTTCCTTGGAGAAGGGCTCTAGTCCATTAAAGAAGTCTATAAATGTGTGTTTCTTCTTTTGGGATAGGGAATATTACATATTTTACAAGTGGGGCACTTGGTTACCAAGAAATGAAGTCAACACCATGTAGCTAGTCCTTCTTGTTGGGCTTCCTTTTGGGACCACCAGCTCCCAAATAATGACATGGAGACTTATTCATTATGAAAGCTTGGCCTTAGTTTAGGCTTGTTCCATTAGCTCTTATAACTTAAATTAACCCTTTTCTGCCGGGTGGTGGTGGCGGCGGTGGCGGTGGTGGCACACGCCTTTAATCCCAGCACTCGGGAGGCAGAGCCAGGCGGATCTCTGAGTTCGAGGCCAGCCTGGGCTACCAAGTGAGCTCCAGGAAAGGCGCAAAACTACAGAGAAATCCTGTCTTGAAAAACAAACAAACAAAAATAAATAAATTAACCCGTTTCTATTACATCTGCGTTCTGTCACGTGGCTCTTTACCTCTCCTCCATCCTGTATGTCTGACTCCCTCTGTGTCTAGCTGACGAAATCTGCCTCTCTTCTTCTCAGAATTCGGATCTCTGCCCACCTAACCCCACCTAACCTCTCCTCCCTAGCTGTCGGCCATTCAGCTCTTTATTAGACCAATCAAGTGCCTTAGTCAGGCGAGGCCAAACAGTGACACACTTTACATAGTTTGCTCAAATGTCCCGTGGCACCAGGGAAAGGACCTTTTCTCTAGCTGTTAAACTGCTTTGAAGAGAGCCTTCTTCCGGGAAAACAGCTCAGGAGGTAGAGTGCTTGCCTAGAAATTCCCTGGACCATTGCCCAGCGAGTGGGTCAGATAGAGAGCTCTCTTTTCCCCCAGCTGTGGCTCCTGCACATATTCAAATCCTCCCAGTAGCTGGAGGACCTGAAGCAGCACTTACCTATTTCCCAAACTGTAGCCGACCTCCTCCACAGAAGAGACTAGAGGTGGCAATAGCAGGGGTTAAATAAAGAGCCAGTGAACCCTGCTTCCCGGCTCAGGCTGCTGCAGCCGGCAAACTGGAGCACCATCTCCCGCTCACAGGGGTGTCATGTCAGGCGTGATTGTATATGCTAGTTTAAAAGCACAATAGAAAGGCAACTCCTAGGGAGCGGTGTTGGGAAGACATCCAAACAGGAGAATCGCTTGAACCTTGGAGTTTGGGGCTAACCTGGACAACATGGTTCAGTGGTAGAACATGTAGTTACTGTGTGAGACTCTGGGTTCAGTCCCTACCAGGGGACATGGTAGTAGAAGGCAGCTGTATATGCTGGCTGGTGACTTTCTTTTTTGACCCACTTCTGGGTGCGTGGGTGTTCTTACTCTGTGACGAACACTCAGGACTTGGATATTTTATCACCTCAGTATGTATATTTTATCTCAAAAAGAAGTGATTTTGTGGTTGATGGTGGGAGATTTGTCATCTCAGCTGTCACCAAGAGAAAAAGAAGGCAAGAGAAGAGTTGATCTGTCCATTTTGACTGATGTGGTTATAGTACAGAGTAAGGAAGGGGACTGGTCTGGTAATTTTACTTCCAGGTGTATACCTTTAAGAAGGCGTGTCAGGGCTGGGGGGTGTGGCTCAGTGGCTCAGGGATGCTTGTGTAGCTTATATTCCCAGCACCACATAAACGGCATGGTGGCCCATACCTGGAATCCCAGCACCCGGGAAGTGGTGGCAGAAGGATCAGAAATTCAACAGCATCTTTAGCTACATAGGGATTTCAAGTCTAGCCTACGCATGAGACCCTTTCTTGAACAAGAAAACCAAACAAGCAAACCCCAAAGATGTGTGCAAGGTTTCATAGTATTAAGTAGGGGGAGGTTTGAAACAATTTAATGTTAGGTAGTAAATGGGGCACAACAAAATATGAAATGCTATTTAACCATTAAATGATACTATGTTTATTTACTAAAGCCACTTACAAAAAGTGTGGTATAATCCCATTTTAAAACCCAAGGTGTATATTTTTCTTACTTATATATGCATAGGAAATAATCAGATATGGGTGACTCCTAGTTCCTTCAGGTTTTTTATTCCATAACATCTGTTGCTTATATAATACTGTGAGAGGAAATTCACCCTGGGGCAGTAGTCTTGACAGCCAGCCTCTTTCCTCAAGCCTACCCTGCCTCATCCGCACATCTGTCTTCCAGGGATGCCAAAGAGTGCTCTCCAAGGATTCTTGGGAAGTATAAACATGTCCGTGACCCCACGAGCACATCCCAGTCTAGATGTTTAGAAATGGGGGAGAGCCTGTCTACAGCTGCTCTGATGCACAAATCGTACTCGTAAAACCTCACCCTCTGTGGTGCAAGGGCTGAGGCAGTCACAGTTCCACAGGAATCTCACAGAGGCGGTCTTCAGCAAACAGAGGGAGCTGTTTTCCAGGGCTGACTATACCCCTTGACTTGTAGGAGTTTGGACCGCCTTACAAGGAGCGCTGATGTTCAGGTGCATAAAGGTAGTCCTCCTCTCCTGACTGTGACGTCTGTGCTCATGGCCAGCGCTGAGCAGGTCACAGGTGACACTGCTCGCTCTCTTGTGGTTTGAGGCACACGCACACCACTACACAGCCTACACACTACACAGGCACAGCCCTGAATAGAGAGCTCAGGGTACGGAGCAAGTTCCCCAGCTGGTGAGGGTTCCTCCAGCATGGGTTCTCTCCTGGCCCACAGATCCTGCCGTCCCTAGCTCTGACCTTCAGCCTCTTCTGTATAATGGGCAGACAGGGCATTTAGATCATCAAGTGGGTGCCGATCATCCCCTAACCCCGAGAACTCAGTAAGCTCTGCTGTTACAGTTTTCCACCCCATTCTGTGCACGCAACAATAGAGCTGACACCCTTGTGTCCTGTAGACTTATGTGGTCTTGTTTTGTGTCAAAGTGAATTTATAAAGAAAAGAAACTGCTCCCACCCACCCCACCCCACTAAAATAATACAGAGAACAATATATAGGAAGGTGGGAAATACTGGAAAGGAGGGCTCGATCTCTTGCATGAAGAGGTCTCTGACGTCATCTTACACGAATTTCTCTGAAGGGCCGGGCTTGCCTCCTTGTCTGACCAGGGGCCTGAAAGAGAGGCAGGAGACTAACCATCACTGTAGCAAGAACCTCTTTAATGAGCCTTGGGTGGCGCATGCCTTTAATCCCAGCACTCCAGAGGCAGAGGCAGGCGGATCTTTGTGTTGGAGCCCAACCTGGTCTGCATAGTAAGTTCCAGGACAGCATCCGCTGCCCTCAGTTTTTAATGGCTCTGAGAACTTGTCCCTAGGGTGCCAGCAGGAATGGGTAAGTAACCCTTTTTTAAGCCTCGTGGTACCATTTAGGGGTATGCACTGCTCAGGAGAGGTTAGAGAACCTGCCTCAGGTCACACAGCTATCAGGCAGCTGAAGCAGGATCTGAGCCCAGTTAGGCTTCCTAGAGCCTTCTGGAGTCTCAGGAAGGTGGGATATTGAGGTAAATTATTTAAGAAACCAGGTGACTTATTCTTTTTTTTTTTTTTTCCTCGAGACAGGGTTTTTCTGTGGTGTTTTGGTGCCTGTCCTGGATCTCGCTTTGTAGACCAGGCTGGCCTCAAACTCACAGAGGCCTGGCTCTGCTTCCCGAGTGCTGGGATTAAAAGCGTGCGCCACCACTGCCCGGCGGGTGACTTGATTCTGATCCCCACAACCCGAAATTGAGGATGCAAAAGGGTTAAGGCGCCATCCTCAGTCAAGCGGAGTGCTGAAGTTCAAAGTCCCTGAACTTGACGTCACACTAAAAGTGGGTGCCCCGAATGGCTCCTCCAAAACCTCCCTGCCTTTAAGCTCATACTCAAACGTGTGAGTTCTAGGAGGCAACCTTGGATAGCTCCGGGTTTCACGGCAAGGGCAGGCTTTTCTGTTTTACATTTCAAAATGAGAGTATTCAGAAAAAGTCAAGATAAGTGACTGTCTTGCCGAAGCAGCCAAGTACACTCAATCATGAAAGCAAGGAAAACCCTTCACAGTTTGTCTTTATGCCCTCAGCATACCACCTGCAACACAACCACTCTGGATACTGTTACATCGCCTTGGTTTGAAGGGATGTCTAAGCTGCTAAAGGCAGATTCCAGCACGGAGATAGAAAACGTGCAAAATGTGAACCCGGATATGAAATTTTAAATACGTCCATCTACTGGAAGGAAATGTATATAGTGGGTTGTATTTAGCACTCAGCCCCAGCCAGCCTGCTGACCCGGGAAGGTAAACTGAGTTTTAGATGGAAGTTGCAAAAGCCTGATATTTGTTGGCAGTATGACCTGAGACAAATCACCAAAAGTCCTAAGCCTCAGGTTCCTCCTCTGTAAAATGGAGGGCATAGTAACTACTTTAAAGATTGTTACAAAACCTGAAATGAAAAGAAAAACAAAACATACAGCTGTCCTTACTATCCAAGGAGGACTTCGATATTATCCCTGCTTGGGGTACCCATCTTGGATAGCCAAATCTTTGGAGTTCCTTTTATATAAAATGGCATTTAGCCTGTACACGTTGCACTGCCACACAGGTCATCTCCAGATGGCCTGTAATACCTAAAACTGTAAAATCTGTTTATTGTTTAGGGGGAAATGACCAAAAAGAAAGTTCATGACGGGCATGCCTTCTGATGATGTGGGACCCATGGGCATGGGGCATGAAGGGCTGACTGCATAAAGCAGGCAACCGGCACACTGAAGCCTTGCTTTAAGAGGTCTGGCTTTGATCATCTGACTGTGATCCCATCTTTGCCCCTTCAGATGGGTTTCCTTATCTTGTAGCTGTGGTCTGAAAGTTGGGGGCGATGATATCTGCAAGACGAGGCTGCGGCTGCTGTGTAGATTCAGACAAATTCTGAGTGGAACCCCTTTGTCCCATTTTGTCCCTTTTGCCAAGCTGGGACAACACTTGTTAGATGATGCCACCTTTGGAAGGCAAGGGCAGTTAGATGACACCCCCTGGGGTGCAGGGACTGTTGGATGATGCCACTGCTGGGGGCAGGGGCTGTCCTAACATAAGGTCAAAGCAAAGTGAAAACTGAGATCTCTCTTAGATGCTGTAGTTAGTTTTCTGATCATTTCAGAATGACTGAGCTGGAATTGGGTGGGGCAGACATTTGAGCTACCAGAGAGCTAACTGCCTTTGCTTCTGGTCCTTTTATCCCCTAAGCCCTGACAGGAATTCAAGGCCCTGTGCTTTCACAGAAAAATTAGGAACTGGGGGCATTGTTTGTTCTATTTTAGTAATAAAACATGGCTTTCTCTTTAAAATAAAATGGACCAATCAAGAGGGTAAGTAGAGAGGTGTCTTGATACACCTCCAAAACACCCATATGGAATCATCTAGAACAAGAGGAGGACCCCATGTACTCCCGGAGCTATGCTGGGTTGGAGGGGAATTATTTTATTTTATTTTTTTGACGGTGGTAGAGGAGGTGAGCTAGACAGAACAGGATTTCCAGAAAGTCCCAGTGCTCTCCCACCAAGCCCTTTGTGGGCCTTCCTTTTCTCAGGAATGAATTCCAATACCTTACCTGCCTTCTTCTCCTTGTTTAGGGACTGGCTGACTCTTGCGCCCCTGCTACCAGGACTTCACTGTCACGACCTCTTTCTGAGTAAGAGTCCCCAACCACCTGCCACTGGGCAGCCAGAACCACTGGGACCATGGCTGCCCAGGGTGAGCAGGCTGCCCAGGGTGAGCAGGCCCAGAGTTCAGAAAAGTACTCACCTGGGACATTTGCAAACACGCCTTCGGTTCCCTAGACAAGGAAGAAGGGAGAGTGAATGAATGCCCTCTTGCAGTTTCCAGATGCCCTTTCAAGAGCGTTCTCTACTCTGGTCTTTTGAGGATCATAACTCCTCAGAGTTGGAGTGAACACTACTTTGCCAACCCTGTCCTCAAGCTTCAGTTAAAAAAAAAAATCTTAAATTTGGTTTGGTGGCCTATGCCTGTAGTCCTGGCACTCCCAAATGGAAAGAGGCCGAAGGACCAGATGAGAAGTTTGGGGTTATCCTAGGCTACATAACTAGTTTTAAGCTAGCCTAGACAACATGAAACCCTGTCTCCAGGCGGAGGGGGTGGAGGGACACACGACGACAACAGCGTTGTAAGTGTAGATGTGAGCGATGCTGGGAATCTGTAACCAGGCTGGCACAGGACTCAAGAGGAGCGAGTGGTTTGTGGGGGTGGAATTAAGGGTAACTCTCAAGCCAGCCACGGTTTTGACCCAGCTTTCTTGGGGCCAGGTCTCAGGGCCACAGCGGCCCCCTCCCTGGAGGGTTTATGCACTCCCTGGCTGTGCTAGCTGCTGGCTTAGCTGCTTCTGGCGGTCCTGAAATAGGGTTCTATGTTCCGCAAGGTTCTCAGAGGGTGGAAGGAGCAGCGGGGTGGCCTGCCTGTCTCCTGCCTCCAGGAAAGCGGCACCGGTCCTGCAGGGCAGCTGGGCCCCCCTAAGCCTGAACTTCATCTCCCCTAAGCCTGAACTTCATCTCCCACAAGGGCGGTCAGGGCGAGCACAAAGCACTTGAGTGGGGTAGACTCCTCCCCGCGGCGACTCCCCAGGACTTACTGTGGCAGCAGATGAGAGTGATGACCAGGGACAGCAGAAGGACCCCGCAGATTCCGGCTAAGGGTGCCCAGATGAAGATATTACAGTCGAAGTCCAATCCGCTCTTCTTCACTGACAAGGTCCGAGTGGGTGGCATTTAGAGACCCTCTGGGACAGTCCCCCGCCCCCGGCCCCAGCCCTTCTCCCCGCCCAGGTCTCCCTCCAGGATCAGGATTTGCCTTGGCAAGTAGCCTCCCAGGTTGTCTGCCCACCCCGATCACGGACCCTGAGAGCGTCTAACCTGAAACGCCCGCCCCGGGCCGGCAAGCTTCTGGTCGCTGGGACCGGGATGTCCCGGTAGTGGGCACTGGTGTGGGTAGTCGCGCCACTGGCGTGGTGGGCTTCTCTGCAGGAGCAACAGGATGCCTGAGGGTTAGGCTGTGGTGGTGGATGCACTGGTGCCCCAAACTCTTCCCGCTTAGCTTTTACCCAAGAAGACGCCTCCTCCTGGCTTTTTTTTTTTTTTTTAAGCGAGGAAGAAGGGACCCCTGGACAAGTGCCGGGCCACTCCCGCTGCTCGCAAGTGTAACCTTGGGCTTAGAACGCCTGGACCAGATCCCCGCAGCGTAGCAGCAGCGGCCCTCGGCCACCAAACGCTTTAGTCAATATCCGGCTCTAACGCCCCTCCCCCAGCCAACAAGGACAGGCCAATACACATATTCAAACTCCATCCCAGATACCGGGGTATTAAGAGTCACCTCCAATCCCGCCTGGCACCTCAGCCTCAGTTTTCTGGTCTGTGAAATAGGGACGGTGTGAAAGTAGCCCCCCCCCAGGGGTCCCCAAGAGATTTAAGAGGAGGACGTCTGCGTGTGAAACGTGTTCAGATGTGACCCCCCAACACCCAGGGGAAGAGACCTGCGCGCCCAGACCTGGCAGAAAGACCTGCACGAGAGGACTGAAGTACACCACTGAGTTGCTTGTGACAGAGCAGAAATAGTAGCCTTGGTTTTCCTCGCTGAACTTGCTCAGGGTGAGGGTGTACTCGTCACCATTCTTCTCGCCAGAGATCTGATTTGAATTTAGGTTGTCATTCGATTTTTTCCGGGTCGAAGAGAGATAGATGAGGAAGGTGGGTGCAAGTCCGTCGCCCCGCTTCTGGAAGAGCCAAGAGCATCCTTGCGAAGTGGACAACAGCACTTTGCATATCAGCTTCACGTTCTCGCCACGTTCCGCGACCGCATGCGGAGGCGACATTTGAAAGGATTTCGAACCCTGGAGCCCAGCGAAGGCGTCTGCGGGGGGCCAGGTAAGGAGGCTGAGTCTGGAGGCCCCACACCCTCGATGTATTCCAGCCCTGCCCTCCCCGGGGTCACCAACTCACTCAGCAGCAGGGTCAGCGAGAGAAAGCAGGTCACCCGCGAGGCCATGGTGTGCTCCCACCAGCAGCTTAGGTCAAGCTAGGGCGCTAAGGGAGGGGCCCAGGAACGGGGGGGCGTGGTGGGTGAGGAAACTGGGCCCTTCGCCGGCTGCAGACTGAGGATATGATGTCATCCGAAGCCCCCACTGAAGAAACTGTTAGCCTCCTTTTTGCGGTTATCACCTTCCAGGGGCGAGGGAGCTCAGAGAACGGAGCCTTGCAGAGCAGCTGGGGGCAGCTGAAAACTGAGCTTGGGGGAAGAGAAAACGCTTGGAAAGCGGTCCTTGGGGATTGTGCTATTGCAAGAATGGCAGAGAAGGGGAAGGAGAAAGATCAAATCTTTCTTTCTTCTTCCTTTTTTTTGAGACAGGGTTTCTCTGTGTAGTTTTGGAGCCTTTCCTGGAACTCACTCTGTAGCCCAGGCTGGCCTCGAACTCACAGAGATCCGCCTGCCTCTGCCTCCTAAGTGCTGGGATTAAAGGCGTGTGCCACCACCGCCCGGCAAGATCAAATCTTAAAATAATAAAATAAAGCGGGAGTGACAGGAAGGAAGGGAGAAGAGTGCCCACTCTTTTCTTCTTTTTCTTTTGGATAGGGTCTTGGGTAGCCTAAGCTGGCCTCAAACTCACTTCGTGGCAAAGGCTGGCCTTGAACTCTAGATCCTCCTGTTCTCCCGCTTCTTTTGCTCTCAATAGCGTCTCTTACGCTGCTTTGTGCCCCTCCCCCCTCCGTCTGATGAGGATCGGAGGTTGAGATGGAAAGAGGAAGGATCAGACACACAGCCATCCCAGCAAAGCAGACAGACCGAAGACATTAACCAGAAGGGCTTTGCGCCTTCCACCAAGGAGACGTCCACGTGGGTGGTTCAGCTAGAGCCTTGGGTGGCACTCAGCTACTGGCAATATCCTTCCCTGGCCTCCCTCCCAGGGGACGAAACTCAGCTCAGTCGCCTCCCTTCTTAGAGCCTTGGCAGCCTTGGCCTCCATACCTAACTCCCTCTAATGGGATGATCCAGCCACACACTGTGACCATCATTCTTGTCCTGGGGATCTGACAATATCACCCCACGACCTGCATAGCGGGATGAAAACAACCCCCTGACTTGGTTGCCGACTAGCCCTTGGGTAGGTGCAGGCTCCGCCCAAGCCTCTGTCCCTGGCTTTTCCACGTCCTTGCAGCCGCAGCCTCACAGACAGAAGATGTTTCCTTCACTGCATACATACTCCTCTGTGTTTTCAAGCCCTGGCTGCTCTCTGCCTGGCAAATGCCAGGACCCGTGCTGTCTGCCTTGGACCTCCTTTTCCTCCCGCTCTACTCAAAGGCAAGCCAGCGAGCATGCGCGTACATATGTGCGTGGCGCGTGAGTGTCCCGGGTGAATCTTGCGTGCAGTTGCTTACTCTTTTCTGTCCCGAGCACACGGGCACCTCATTCTTTCTTCCCCTCGGTGATGTGCATTCCTCTCAGTTTCCCAGGGTTTCCACTTAGTGGCGTTTTCCCACTTCGAGTCCCATACAGAGTGCACCTCTGCTGCCACTGTTCGATTATAGCTTGAGGCAAGTCACCTGGCATTCTCTGCCACACACTTGGCAAGGCTTGCACTCCTTTGAAGAGGTTTGCTCTCCTGTTGTCTCTGTTTGAAGACAAGATCTCAACTCCGTAGCCTAGGCTGGCCTGGAACTTACTATGCAGTCCAAGTAGGCCCTGGGTTCTTGGTAACCTGACTGCTTCGGTCTCTGGGGTGCTAGGATTACAGGCTTGGGCCACCAGCTCAGCATGGCTGACTTATGCAGACAAGTGTTGGATGAGCTTCAAGAGCCTGGGCTTCAGCGCTCCCCGCTCTTAGAACATCGAAATGCTCGCTCTGACATGAGCATTTTATGTTCAGAGCTGTTGACGGCATCACTTGATGTATTTTGTTATTATTGTGTGTGATGTGTATGAAGGGGGGAATGCGTGGCACACATGCCCCAGCATGAATGTGGATGGAAATCAGGACACGTTTGTGGCGTGGGTTCTCTCCTTCCACTTTTACATCCGGGGACTGAATTCGGGTCACCAGGCTCTCATGGCAAGCACAATACTTACTGAACCACCACCTCGGCTCTAAAGTGGCTTTTCGAATGACAAGAGTAATATATTCTTGACACAATGTTAGACAAGGGGCTGGGGAGACGGCTCAGTGGGTGAAGCATTGGCTGTGGGAGCCTGGGGAGCTGAGTTCGAATCCCCAGAGCCAACGCAATTCCATTGCCAGGAGGAAGGGACCGGGATGCCCGAAGCAAGCAGGCTAACTAGACTTGCTCTGGCAGTGAGTGAGCTCTGGGTTCAACTGAGAGACTCTGTCTCGGTACATGAGGTGGAGAGCAATGAAACGCACCAGCGTTGGGCCTCCACACACTCCTGAACACACTTGGACGTGTGCACCTGTAACCCCACACTTGTGCACCCCCCCATAGGCACGGATGCATGCATATCACACACACACACACACACACACACACACACACACACACACACACACACACCTGTAAATTTTAAAATGTCAGACAATACAAGACTGAGTGCAGAGAAAGGCCTCTATCTCATCTCTCCTCACTGCCCCCCAGTTCTCCAGTCGAAACCACTGGAGCAGCTGGCTGGGTCTCTCAGATGTCGTCTGCGCAGGTGTTCGTTCCTCATTTCAAATCACGTATTTCAAGGGTCGTGTTACGAATGTACATATATTTTCAATTTTCTTACTTGAGAATAGGAGAAAGAAACTCTTCAGGCTGGTAGTTGTAGACCTACCTCATTCTTTTACACGGATGCATTCCACATGTCTGTTTCAAAATTTACTTCTGCTGGTGGGTGTTTAGGGAGTTTCCCATTTTATGTAGTTACTGTGCCAGCAAGGTTGTTGTATAAATATATTATGCCTGTAACATTTTATCGTTGAAATTATAAAATTCACACAACACTTTCAATTTTAAAGATATATATATATAAAGAAAAAAAAATATATATATATTTAGTATGTGTACCATCATGTGCCTCAGCACTACAGGTCAGAGGACAAGTACGGGGGGTCAGTTTTCTCCTCCTACTGTGTGGGTCCCAGGGATTGAACTCAGGTTGGCGGGGTTGGCAGCAAGCACCTTTACCCTTGTTGCTATCCCACTGGCGCCTCACATAAGAGGACGAGGACGCCTTCAAACAGGACGAGGGAGTCAGAGGAGGCAAAGCCTTTGTAATGGCCAACACGTGCATGCTCATGCCTGTGTCTGTGAGTGTATGTGTGCATGTGTAGTGTGTATGTATATGTGTATAGTGTGCATGTGTGTGCACATACAGTGTATATGTGTGCATATATAGTTGTGTGCCTATGGTGTGTGTGTGTTGTGTGTGTGTGTGTGTGTGTGTGTGTGTGTGTGTGTGTGTGTGGTGTGTGCAGACACAGCGCTTCTCTTAACTTACATGAATGAGGGCAGCAAGGAAGCAGGTAGGTTCAGACCACCCACACAACCAATCTTGTTTTAGATGATAGTTTTCTATTTCACTTGGTCACTGCTCCTCCTACAGGAGGATGTTCCCAGGACCCTGGGGGCCAACGGGGACAGTCAGAAGAATATGAAAGAGGGTGGAAAAGATACTTTTCAGATGAGAGCCGCAGTCAACCTTCAGTTATGCGGATCTTCAGAACCAGATCCCCGAATAGGATGATGGATGGATTTGAGGGGATAATAGCCATTCCATTTCAATCTCTCAGAAGTGAGCAGCTGTAGCTGACTTAGGAGCCTTCAAGTCCTGCAGCTAAGAAAACTGCCAGCCACGAGGGTGCCATTGCCCTTTGCACAGAGCACCATGGGGGGTGAGGGGAATGCCAAGGCAACATGTCAAACCCACCAAAGAGCTTCTGTGACCCCAAGAATATTTTTCACAGAAGTCGGTGGGTTCTCAAATGTTAACCACAGCGACATCCGCCCTGTAGCAGGCGGCAGAGCTGATATGACTGCATCGTTCCAAGATGCTTGTTCTCTGTAGCCCAGGCGTGCAGAGAGCTGGAGTTGGGCCTGTCCATCACAGCATCTGATCTCCTGTACCCATCCTGTGATATGTGGCACAAAGAACAATGACTGTACTCTGTCACGCAAGTGTCTTGTTCTGTTTGTAAAGGACAAGTTCTCACTATATAGCCCTGGCTTGCCTGGAACTCACTCACTATGTAGACCAAGCTATCCTCAAACTTTCAGAGCTCTGCCTGACTCTGCCTCACCAGTGCTGGGATTAAAGATATGCACCACCATGGCTGGACCTTTATTTCTTAAGATGTGAAAGACAGAATTGATAGTAGTAGCCCTTGTGCTGGTTTGAGTGAGAATGATCCCATGGCTCATTTCTTTGAATACTTGGTCACCCGCCAGTGGAACTGTTTGAGAAGGATTAGGAGGTGTGGTTTTGTTGGAGAAGGTGTGTCACTGGGAACAGGCTTTGAAATTTCAAAAGACTTTCCAGTGTGTCCTTTTCTCTACTTCCTCCTTGTGGATCAGGATGTGAGCTCTCAGTTACTGCTCTAGCACAAGTCTGCCTGCCCACCACCATGCTTCCCGCCATGATGGTGATGGATATCTAGCCCTCTGGAATTTTAATCCCCAAACAAGCGCTTCCTTAGATAAGTTGCCCTGGTCATAGTGTTTTATCATAGCAACAGAAAAGTAACTGAGGCACCTTTAAGTGAGCTTTGTCCTTATGTTTTTAAAACATGAGAGTGAAATAATTTTAACCATGGAAGTCCGATTTCCAGCAGCGGAAAAGATACCTGTGGTTACCCTTCATCAGGACTCTGTGCCACAGAAAGCACAGACATCTCGGAACCGTGATTCTGAAGTGGCCCGCTGCTCTCCTCATCAGCTCAGGTCTGCGGAGACGGCACAGGAAACGCTGGGGTTATCAGGACCTCATTGTAGCTCAGTCACAAATACCTGGCCGCAGGTCCTGCTGTGTCTAGAAGACACTGTGTCGGCAGACTTTGACTCTTCCCCTCTTCCATGACTTCCCCTGAGCCTCGGTGGCGGATGGGGAGTGGTGCAGAGGTCCCAGTGATGGCTGGGCACTCCCCAGACACTTATTCTCAGCGCTTTGACTGTTTGTGAGTCTCCCTATTAACCACTGTCCACTGTATTAGCTTCTCAGATTAGGGTTGAGAGCTGTATTACTCTGCACATTCATTTTTCTTCACAGCTGGATAAGATTTCATTGTGTAAGTGTA